GGGGGGGTGTTCGCCGTTAGGAGTCCTTGGTCAGAATTATGATAGGAGGAATTCCTACTTGTGGTCCATTTTGTCTAGTATGAGATGACAATGTTATAAGCGTTATTCAGTTGCTTTAGAATTTATACAGGTTTATATGTAATTCCTTAACAGAAATTAAGGCTTTCATTTAAAAACAAATGTGTATTTACATACAGCTCTTCAGGGAAATAAAAATGATAGCCTCACAATTTTTAATTTCAATGATATTGCATTTTCCTCCTCAATATAAAATCTTTTCTGATATGTTTTGTTTTTTTTGATCAGCCAAGGAAAAAAGAAAAGTTACTGAAGCCTCAAGTGATGATCCACAGCCAGGGTTTGACCTGGTAAGAAAGGAATCATTAACCAGTTTGGAATCTTTCCAAACAGTGGAGTGCTTGCGGTCTTTGGGTAAGGAAGGTATAGTAGAAGGTATTAAAAGAAGAATTCGAAATAAAAAACTGAAAAGCTTAGAAAACCCACCTCTCAAAATAACCGAAAATGAGGCTACACAAAATATTAAGGTTGAATTCCAAGATGAACTGTACAAGAATACTCTAAAATATTCTTGTAACATCTTGTCACCTGAAGTAGAAAATAATTCCGTTTTTAAATTACGTGGTTGCAGTTGTTTTCCCCATTCCAAGGATTGTAATGATGAAAACAACCTGCCATATGAGCCTGATGGTGGATGTATGCATGTAGCAGAAAATTTCTCAAAGAAAGAAAACTTTAGAAGTCTTGCAGAAAAGAGTGACACAAATAATATTCCTCAACTCTTACAAACTGAAGAAAATGTAATGGGAGTAAATAAGTTACTACCAGAAGAGAGTGATTTATACCAAAGTAAAATCAATGGCTTGCTTCCCTGCCTTCAACATGAAAAAAATAAATATTCAATAGAGGAGAGCAGTGTTGGGCGAAAACCCAGGAAAAGGATGAAGTTGTCTGAAAAAGCGGATGAAACAGTTACTCAGATGAACTTCTCTAATGAGTATAACAAGTCTGAGTTGATGTTGCAAGAAAATCAAATGATTGCTGATGGTAAAGAAGTAGAGACTAAAAGTCCTTTAAATGTTTTGAGAAAAGTAAGCCATAATACAGTCTCTTTGATGGATCATTTATTAAGTGTCCCAGAAATGGTAGAAAAAGAAACAAGTTCTGAACATCATGTAAATGCTGTGTTTCAGAAAACCATCGAACCACTTTTGAAAGAAGAAACAGAGAATGCTTCAGAGCCCTTAGGATATGAAAACATGGCGCTGAAAGAGGATTTTAAATCGAAAAGCTTCATAGGGAAATCACCTGAGTACCATATTGAAAGGAGATCTTCACGGGAAGATTTAAGAAGTGACTCTGAAGAACTGAAGTTAAGCTGTCAGAGAACAATACCTATGACTGGTAAAAGAACTTGGCCCTATTATTCATGTGCTAGAATATCTGCCTGGTGTTGGAAAAAGGCTTCCTTGCCAGAATCAAGTTACTTTCTTCCTGGGTCTCAGAAAAGTTGTAAGAAAGTTGATGTCCCTAAACACCAAATAAACAAGACCCACTTAACCGACTCCAAATTATTATTACAAAGTTCCTTAACAGAAACAAACACTGAATCTTCAAGTAAAGAAAAATTAGATTCTAATTTGAATTGTTTGTTTTCAGTTTCTGCAGTAGAACATACTTTAATGGTTATAAAGGAACCTATAATCAAGGATGATAAAAAGATAAAATCAGAGGAACTGAGCAGAAGTGGGTCAGAGGTAATTTCTAACACTACTGAAGATACTCAATTAACCAGTGATACTCAAAGCTTAACAGGAAATAAAAAAAGAGATAGAGGAAATTTAACAAAACTTAATTTGACAGCAGCTTCCAAAGATGGTCAGGAAGCAAATAACTCTACAGGCAAAACTATTCATCGAAAAGCATGTATTGCTAAACAAACATTTGTAGTTCCAGACTTGGTTAAAATATTGAACACAGGACGACTGACTAATTTTAAAATTCCTTTACTTAAGAATAAAACAAAAAAAAGAAAAGAAGTAAATGCCAAGTCATCAGAGAGAGAAGCTTACAGTCCTCTAGAACTTCTGGACAATTTATCTGGAGCAGATACAAGACACAATAGGAGTAAAGAAAATGTCTCCATGACGATGTTAGGCCCTCAAACTTTGAGCATACAAAATAATGTAACTCCAGTGCAAGCTAGTTCTGACTCATTCTACAATAAGAATTCCTGTAGTATTTCTCCAAGCTTTACAAAGCATGGTAACAGTAGCAAACTATCTAGTCACTTCTCTGAACCAGGCAATATTGTTTCTAATAAAGAAGTTGCTTCTCTCACAGTTGAAAATAATGCTTTTTCTTGTGATCCTGGGTATGTAGAGAAAAGTCCTTCCTTCTGCTGTAATAAACAGGAAACATTCCGACCAGTTTCCAGTGAAGTTAGGGGTAGAAAAATAACTAAGAATTTTTCAGAAGTAGGATTTCCAGATATTCTTAAAGCATATGAAGATGACGTCCTCTTAATTGATGTAATTCAAGATGACCCAGACCTCTTTGGAGTCTCCAATGAAGGGGAACTCTCATTTACTTCAGAGGTCCCCAGGATAAGCCAGGAGCCCAATGTTCCTGGAGAGTACCAATCAACAGACTCCAAGTATGTGGAAACTCCAGTAAAAAAAGAACCAAGTGATGACTTAAGGTATGCATGTTCAAGTATGCCTTTTAGTGCAGATTGTTGGGGGTTAGAAAAGCAGTCTCTACTCTTAGGTTTCACTAATGTATTCAGTGATATTGAAGCTCCATTATTTTTTAACCCAGTTATTTATTAAATGTAATATACCATTATTACTGCTGATACCTGGAAATGTCATTATGATAAAACTTAGAGTCAAAATAATGAATTATGTGTATCTTGGAAGATAGAAAAGATTAGCTCATCAGAATTTATGGTTCATAGAGTGGCCTTTTTTTTGTTTGTTTGTTTTTTGTTTTTTCGGAGTCTCGCTCTGTCACCCAGGCTGGAGTGCAGTGGCGCAATCTCGGCTCACTGCAAGCTCCGCCTCCCAGGTTCATGCCATTCTCCTGCCTCAGCCTCCCGAGTAGCTGGGACTACAGGTGCCCTCCAGCACGCCCGGCTGATTTGTGTGTGTGTGTGTGTGTGTGTGTGTGTGTGTGTTTAATAGACACGGGGATTTCACCATGTTAGCCAGGATGGTCTTGATCTCCTGGCCTTGTGATCCACCCACCTCAGCCTCCCAAAGTGCTGGGATTACAGGCATGAGCCACCGCAACCCGCCCATAGAGTGGCTTTTTAAATGATGGAGATTGCTTCTTTCAAAAGTCAATTTAAGTTTGTTTTCAGATGTTCTTTAATTATTATAAATATGCAGATAAACTTTTATTTCAGCCAGGTTACTTATTAATATCAGTGCTATCTATTTTATTCCATTTTCTATAGCCTCCTTATTCGATAAAAAGTTTATTTTTCAGGGGACAGAGAAGCCTTGGAAATTTTTGTTTGAAGTAATTAGGGTTTGAAAGTAGAGTCAAAAGTTAAACTAATTTTCAGAGATAAACAGTATAGAATTTCTTCATGGTTTTACTTTTAAGGCAGTGGTTATAAATGATGATTTTTCCCTCAAATAGGACTAGTTTGCCCAATGCAACTTTGAATAGGGCCAAGTAGTAACGTTCATGCTCAGGAACTTAATCTGTTCTGCTTGGCCCCAAATTGATTTAATAGTATGTCATATTTTACTTAATTTTATAATTCCTGAAGCTGTTGTTTATATAATACCTGAATATCATAGTATTTTGTGAACAGACTAAAAGAAAAATGAAAACACTTTTCATTAAGATTCAGTGGTGCATGACTTAAGTTTCTTTGCCATTTATTTTCTGTTACCTTTGTGGTATCATACTCTTCTTGATGGTCTTATTGTTACAAGAACTTGAAACTTATCACCAAATATAATGCTCTCTGTGTGCCAAATGGAAAACCAAGAGTTTTATTGATTTTTTTAATCATGTAATGAGGTAGCATGGTAATCTGTCTGTTTTGAAGATGGAAAAAAATGAAGATAAATTTGTCACTTGCCCAAGATCACACTCCTGGTAACAGAATCTGGATTTGAACCTAGGCCTATCTTACTCTAAACCTAGTGATTAAGAGCTTCGTCTCTGTAGTCTGACTTTGATTTTTGAATCTTCTTGTTACCACATAACAACTATGTGACCTTTTAGGCAAATTATTTCATCTTTCTGTAAAAAGGGAAAGTACTTGCCTCAGGGTTGTGAGGATTAAATTAAATAATGAATAGAGAAGGTTTTGGCATTTTTAACTGTTACACCATACTTCCTTGGAGGAATACAAAGGAAAATCAGAGTAAATTCTGCATTCAAGAGCAAACATCTCTGTTGACTGACAAGATGTTGACAGTGAACTAAGCCAAATTTAGAAAGAGATAAATGTTGTGAATTAAAGTGCAGGACGTTTGTTCTTTATTCTTTTTTTAAAGAATAATGGCTGATTTTAAAACATACATGTTAATTAAAGTAAAAAGTGGTGTTGGGGGGGAAATTCCACCACCCAAGTAACAAATTAATTGCCATTTGTATGCGTCATTCCAGACATTTATCTATACATATAAATAGATATAATACTAGAAAAAATTGGATCATGCCATTTTTTAGTAAAAACATTAAAGATAATTTCATTTACACTTAACCAAAAGAGGCAGAGAAATGAAAGTGGAATGAAATGGATTGCTGAATTAATATACTTCTTTACCACAAGAAATTAGTTTCTTGAAGTTCTCAAGTTAATGAGGAAAATTGTGTAAAAGTTTGAGTTTTAGCTTCACTTATAAAAATTGCTTTCCAACTTTAGACAGCAGTGTTTGCTTTCTTCATATGAAAGATGAACATACTTGTACACACTTTTTCTCCTAATATTGCCTACCCCACTTTTTTGTTTAAAGTTTATTTTGTATTACTAAGCCTTGTGCCATGTGCATTCCTTCAATAATCTGAACTCCAAAGATTCTCACTATTAGTTTTCTATTTAAATTGATTCAGTCCCTACCACCAGTCCTTTTTACTTTCCTCTAATCTTGACTATTTTTTTTTTATTTTCTTGAGAGGGAGTCTTGCTCTGTCGCCCAGGCTGGAGTGCAGTGGCAGATCTCGGCTCAGTGCAACCTGTGGCTCCCAGGTTCAAGCAATTCTCCTGCCTTGGCCTCTTGAGTAGCAGGGATTACAGGCACTTGCCACCACTCCTGGCTAATTTTTTGTGTACTTTTAGTAGATGGGGTTTCACCATGTTGGCCAGGCTGGTCTCCAACTCCTCACCTCAAGTGATCCACCTGCCTCGGCCTCCCAAAGTGCTGGGATTACAGGCGTGAGCCACTGTGCCTGGCCTAATCTTGACTATTTTGATTCATCACTTAGTTGGCTAGATTTCAGAGCAATGAAATATTTTTAAGAAGAGTTCATAATTACTGTGTTCCCTAAAATCTTGGGTGCATGAGAATTATTTGTCTAAGAGCAGGTTGTCTGTGTGTAAAATTCTTAGTTTACGTATTTCCCCCTCACAGCTATGTAGACATTGCTCTCCTGCTTTCTGGCATTATGTGTTGTAGTAAAAAACTCTGAGGCCAAACTAATACTCCCACTGTTCCACTTTAAACTGCCTTTATTGTTTCTTCTTGTTTTCCACCTTGGGAATGGTAATTACATATCAGTTTTTCCTGAGACAAGATTAGCCATTTTGGTTTGCAGTATCAGGTGTTTATTTCAGATAGCTTTTTTGTTACTATCTTTGAACTTCATTTTTCTTCAAAAGCATCAGTTCTACTTTTATTGGCTCTTCTTTGCCTTTTATCTACCTCTAAAGTTTCTGTTTTTAAACAAACTTGAACATTTTCTCAGTATTATTTTAATATTTTTATATTTATTCTGCACTGGAAATACTAGTTTTGTAGTCATCCACAGTGCTAGGATAAACCTTAACAGGGAAAAATGAAGACCTGATAACCAGAGATTCTATCAGTAGTTGCACAGAAACTCATTAATGGTTCTAGAACTAAATGAAACTTAAAATATAATTTCAAATTTCAGCTATGTCCCTTTTACCAGCCAGTTGCTACTTCATATGCTCCCTTTTCTCCCTTCTAAGACACTGAGAGGCTGAAGCCTGCTAGAATGAATTTTTATTTTACAGGAATAAAAGTAGAAGATGAAAGGGCAAGGCCCATATATTGTCAGAAACTCTGGACTGCCCCTTTTGGTAAAACAAGTAGACAAACCTGAGCTGACTTAATCACTGGGGAAAATATTCTCAGACCAGATTGGGGAGAATTTGTAAGGTGTCTAAGTTGTGACAGAATGCTTATTTGTTTTTAGTCTCCACAGTGGGGAAAGTCCATGTTAAAATCTAAAACATTAGAAGCATACTAGAACTCATTCACTAAAACTTGAACTGATGAGCTTGGAAATGTGTAATGGCTGAAATTGGTAAAATGTTTGAAATAGGCTGTGTCATTGGAAATGATCTGAGAATGTCTGTAATAGTCAGTGCTGGACAGTTAATCTGTACTAGAACATAGGATTATTATATGCTGAAATATCAGTTAAATGATACCACACAGTGGATTGTTGAGATTTTAAGTGTCTGCCAAAAATTCAGGGGAATTGCTATATAGGTAGGGAGGAGGGGGGAGGAATGAGGGACTAATGTGTTTTAAACACAAGTATATAAACTGAAGTACTAAGAGTAGTAGGAGTTTAGAAAAGAGAAGAATGAAAGATACCTTGGAAAAGCAAAAATTTGTATTGATCCTTGAAGTTTGGATTTGTTTAGATTGACAAAGGAGAAGAAGAAAAGAAGTTTGGTAGGGAAGGAGGAATAATGAGGAATATGTGGGCAGAAAGGCAAAAGTACATGTAAGCATGATTGTGTACGGAAGGTTAAAGGTTTTCCTGACTCCATCAGGCAGAGGTGGAAATCCCTTATGCATTCCCATAGCACCTTATGCTACCTTAGTTGTGGCATTGATTTCATGGTGGTATAATTTAATCTCTCACTTGCTAAACTGTTGGATTTTGTGAGGGTGGGAAATGTCAATGTCTTACTTTTATTTGCAAGTCCAGTCTCTCATATATTGAGATGGGAAGGAGAATTAAGGTTTCAATTCCTATTTGAAAATATTGCAGGCCATTTCTGAAGTGCTTGAATTAGATTACATGTAAATGGAGACAGTAAATCCTTTCTTTCTTAAGCAAGTAGACACTGAACAATAGTGGGAAATAAGATTTTATAAGTAGGGTGATACTAGATTAAGGAGGTTGGAAAGTTAGGCACAAAAACTTGAATTCTGTATGGAATTGATGTTGGTGATCAGTGGGGATCAGTTATTTACCACCTTCACAACTTGGTCTCAAATCCATAGGCAGCCATTGTAGATTCTGGAGCCAGTAAATAATAAAGTTCTGAGAGATAAATATCTGGTACCAATGCACAGAAAATAAAAGCCTACCACTTTTGCCCAGGCATTTGAGTCTCATTAGACCCATGTCTAGCCTGGATCTATGCTGGGCAAATTATATCCTGTCTCAAGTAACTTACTTTCTCAGAGTCTGACTTAATCCCAGTTCGTTCCCCAAGAGAGGACTTCTAGAGTAGAGTAGTCTTATTACCAATTTTACCATCAAATGACAAAAAAAAAAAAAAAAACAGGTTTCCACCAAAAATAAAGATCTTTTTTCTCTCCCTTATATATTGAGATTCATTGTCTTTTATGAAACTTACTTTTCTTCATTGTCCCATTGCGCTGAATATCTAATGTGCTCTAACTTTACTGCAAAATTTTATTAAATTTTTATAAAAATTAAAGTTTTACTAAATTTTAATCTTAAGAACTGATATTTAATGTCTACCCTGTGCTAGATACATTACTTATTTTATTTAGTGAAACAATTCTGAGGTTGAAACTCACCCTATTTTTATACTTAAATCAAAGTGATTAACTTTCTAAAGGACCCAGCTTGCAAGTATCAGAGCTGACATCTGAACTCAAGGCAACCTGCTCCAAAGTCTGTCCCTGCTCTGCAAAACAGCATGCTGGAAGAGCGGCATTTTGGTTCTTCCTATATATTTAATTCAATTACTCTGCAAACTACTGCAGAACATTATTTTACTTGAGGTCCCTTTCCTCTCATCTCTGCTGCCTCTTTAAAGTAGCAGGTGGAAACTATTAAGAAACACTATTCTGAGTTTTTTTCTTTTCTCTTTCAGGTCACGTAAACTATTCTTTGTCTTTGCTGGAATAAACAGTATTGTACCTGATTGAGCGTTTGTAATATCAGGAGACCTAACAGTACAGTGTGGCATCAGGCTAGGGAACCTCTGCCTTGATTAATTGGATACTATAATATTTCTCTGCTTAGGGCCACTACTACTTGCATAATATGTGCCCCAGTAAATTTGTAGCAGTTCTATCCAGAAACAGAATATGGGTATTTGTAAGTAAATGAATACTGACCACAATTAGCATCTCAAAAGGAGGCAGTGACATTCTGAATTTTTTTTTTTTTCTTTGAGAGAGAGAGAGAGGGTCTTGCTTTGTTGCCCAGGCTGGAGTGCAGTGATGCCATCATGGCTCACTGCAACCTCTACCTGCCAGGCTCAAATGATCCTCACACCTCAGCCTTCCAAGTAGCTGGGGCTACAGGTGCATGCCACCACACCTGGCTAATGTTCTTCTCTTTTTGTAGAGACTAAGTCTCACTGTGTTGCCCAACCTGGTATTGAATTCCTGGACTCAAGCAATCCTCCCACATCAGTCTCCCAAATTGTAGGGATTACAGGTGCGAGCCACTATGCTAAACCCTAAACTTTTTCCTTGGGCAATAATTTTCAGACATTTTCTGATAGTAATTATTCTAAAGCAATCATCTTCCAGCCATTTTGCCAATTATCCTCAATAAAGATCTGTTTTATATTACAATCTGGTACATATTTATAAATATATGAAATTACAGGTTTATGAAAACAATTATTTTCCTTGCTACAACTGATATAGTCTTATATTTCATGTTCGATTTCATTAAAAAATTTCTTGGTTGTGACCCACTAAATAAATTTCATTATCCACATGAAAACTGCTCTGGTAGAGAATAAGCTTGATATAATCTGTATGGCTCTTCAGAGTTGGCTTAAACCTGTTTTACTCTGTCCTCTCCTTTTTACTCAGATCTTCTCTTTGCTTATCTGTATCTCTGTAGCCTCATCCAAATCTCTTTTATCTCCTTTTGTTGTTCTTCCCTTCATTTTTCCCTTTTTCATTTTACCAATTCAGAACTGTAACTACACCAATGCAAAACTGTAAAATATTCGTGTAAATTACAATTTTGCTCACTTTGTGATTTTTTTTCACCTCAGTGAATTTAACTTTTTGTCTCTCAAATTCCAGACAAAAATAAACTGTTTCTTACGAGAGTTTGCATGTGTAATTTTACCTTCCTTGTAAGTTAGCTATTTTCATAGTAAAAAGTTTCCCACATCTATATAGGTTATACTAGCAGTATTATAAATACTATCTTAATACTTGGAAATTAAACTAATATACTTGCTGTACCTATTTATGAATGGAACTTTCGGGATAATTAGAGGCCAAGGAAGCATCCCTCAGTTCTCTATTAAGTCACTTAATTCTGTTCATGTTATTACCTCAATACCTCTCATGGCTGTTCCTTCCTCTCAGTTCTCTCTATGTTCTTATTTTTTTCCTAGATTATTGTAATGAGCTCCTGGTTAATCTTCCTAAACTCTCTTAATATATCTTTTGTCATAGTGATATTCTAAATAGAAATTGATCTGCCAGTAACTGTTGAGAGTGTTTCACTGGCTTTCAGCCACCTGGGGATAGTCTGAATTGCTTGGCATGGCTTTTTAAGGCTCTTTGTGGATCGGTATCCACTCCCTCTTTGGCAACTATGGTATTGGAGGGAGGAAAGTGGGGTGAAAGGCTAATGAAAGATAAGCATAGCAAGCAGCTCACTGTTTCTACAATGCACCATGTACTTTAGGCCTTTTGCATATGTTTATCTGAAAGTCCCTTTCTTTTCATTCAGTTATCCATCAAATCACATCTGAGATATTATTCCAGGAATTTGTTCCAGTAGTTCTCTTGGCACATATCTCAGTATATTATGTCTGCTTGTATGTGAGCCTCACCTTGTACTGGAATTGCTAGAAAGGGGAGCGGCATCTTCATTTGGGTCTCCTTAGCGTAGAATATGTTAGGTGCTGCATGTGTAGAGAACAACTAGACATATATAAGCCTTGTCCTCACAGTGCTTTTAGGGAGGCAAATAAGCATGTACCATAAAATGATAGGACAAGTGCAAGATGTTAAACACCTCCTTGTGAAAGTGGCTTTTAAAATGATCACTAAAGGATAAGTAGGGATTAGCTAATTGTTGAGGAAAACTGAGACACCAAAATAACATCCCATGGCTTGGTGTTCAAATAGCAAGAAATGAAGCTACAGAATGTGCAAAAACTGTCATGAAGGGCTGTGAGAGTAAAATGACCATAGAATTTACCTTCTGGATTGCAAAGCTTTTGAGGACATGAGGAGCTGTTAATATGCCAGGACAACAGGTGTAAACAGACCTTCCTAGGCAAACTAGAATTTATGGTGAGTGTGAAGTTTATGCTAAGCATATAGGAATTCATGGAAAGGCTTCTAAATAAGAGACATAATTTGATCACATTTACTTTTAAAAATAATTATAGCTCTGGTGTGAAGGATAAACTGACAGGGACCTATTGTAATAAGCTGAAAGAATGTGGTGACTTTACACAGAAGTGGGAGTAATTTGTGGGAGGTTTAAGAAGTGAATATTGATTCATCAGATGGGGGTGAGGCAGAGGGAGATGTTAAGGTTGATACCTGGTTTCTCTTTTATCTCGTTACCATCCATGGCATTACCATACCATCTTTTGCATGGGAGAAGAACATTGCCATCCATCTCCCATGCAAAAGAGCTATATTGGGGAGGTCAGATTTAGACATTTTAAGTTGAAGAGGCCCTTGAGGTACTGAGATGGAAATATTCTAGTAGATAGCTAGATATGAATGTAGAAAGGTCCGGGTTAGAGAAAGATTTGCATTTGTGTATGTTTTCTGTTTGTATTATTTCCCCGTCCTTTAAACTATACTTACTGTTTCTAGGGTTTACGTTGGGAAAAAATACTTTGTTTTCCAAACTTCAAAGAATGGTAAATACAAAATGTTTTGTTTAATTTTCCTCTTTCTTGGCTAGGAAGTAATTCTGAACCAGTGAGCAGTCGCAGTGCTGAAGGATATGCTTATCCACTTGTTAAATGAACAAATGGTGGGATTATGAGTGTTTATTTTGTTCTGTGTACTTTTATATGTTTTAAATTTTTGTCTAAGTGATTAAAAATGGAATAGTGTTTGGCCATTTGTATTTGAGTGGCTCCTATAAATGTAGTTTTCATCTGTTGGGCCTATGATATTGGCTTTAAGGACATCTTATCTCATTTAATCCTCACAATACCTTGTGGTTAGTGGTATTCTCATTTTATGGATATGATTAAACTTAGAGAAGTTAAGTAGTTTTGCCACAGTTTATACAGCAAGTGGCAGAACAGTGTTTGAACCCAGACTCGTCTAACTCTGTTCTACATAATCTTTAGACTCTAAGTTGTCTTTAGGGACTACCAAAAAAAAACTAAGCTGCTTTCAAGCTGTCTTCCTTTGACATTGACCATATGACATACATATACATGCTTAAGAGTAGAAATTGGCCAGGCACGGTGACTCACACCTGTAATCCCAGCACTTTGGGTGGCCAAGGCCAGTTGATCACCTGAAGTCAGGAGTTTGAGACTAGCCTGACCAACATGGCAAAACACCATCTCTACTAAAAATACAAAATTAGCTGGGCATACATGCCTGTAATCCCAGCTCCTCAGGAGACTGAGGCAGTAGAATCACTTGAACTCACGAGGCAGAGGTTGCAGTGAGCCAAGATTGCGCCATTGCACTCCAGCCTGGGCAACAAGAGTGAAACTCCATCTCAAAAAAAAAAAAAAAAAAAAAAAGAGTAAACACTATCTTGTATTGATGTAATACTTTTTTGAGTTTTACATGCTTTGTATATGTTGTCAAGCTCTCAGTAACAAAGTTTGAGTGGCAGCACCCCCTAACAGTTGAGGCATATGTGATTAAAGAGCCAAACAAAGAATCCACACAGGTGCACTGGGTTCTGAGTCTTGTTATAGTAAGTACTCTGCCCTGGAGGACTTGAGCTGATGTTCACCAGAAGCTAAAGTGATTATTATATAATGTTTAGAGATAATGTTTAGATAGTTCTGCTTAGAATCTGTTATAATGTTTAAGCTCTGTTTGCTTTATAGTAGAGAACTTCCTGTACTGGACTGTGGACCGATAAAGCCAGACATCTGTGCTTCCAACTCAGCAGGTAAAAGTTGACATTTTCAGAATATGCAATATTGAACCATCTCTTTATATCTCCATGCAGGCCTAGTCAAGATGAATTCATTAGAACAGGAAACTTTTCATTTTAGGGTCTGTTGACCATATGTTTTATAGTTTGTCAATTTTTCTGTTTTAATTGACTGTTTGGAAGATCAGATTGAGATATTTTCTGTTTGATTATTTAATAAATAACTTTGTTAGGCTTTATCTAACAAAAGATAGGTAACTAACCTCAGCAGTGTTTGTCATCTTATTTTGAAATTGAAATATGTATTTTAGCTTTATCACATTTTAAATCTCAGTTGCTTAAAAAAATTTTATAGTTGGCCGGGGGCGGTGGCTCATGCCTGTAATCCCAGCACTTTGGGAGGCTGAGGCAGGTGGATCACGAGGTCAGGAGATCGAGATCATCCTGGTTAACATGGTGAAACCCCATCTCTACTAAAAGTACAAAAAATTAGCCGAGGTTGGTGGTGGGCACCTGTAGTCCCAGCTACTCAGGAGACTGAGGCAGCAGAATGATGTGAACCCGGGAGGCAGAGCTTGCAGTGAGCCGAGATCGCGCCACTGCACTCCAACCTGGGCAACAGTGCAAAACTCTGTCTCAAAAAAATATATATATAGTTAACAGGTAGTCAGAAGTTTAAATACCTGAATCTTTATTTCACAGGGCATAACTTAGTATGAAAGTTAATTTTACTTTGACTTTCAAATTTTACAAGTATATTTAAAATATATTTTATTTTATAAGTATATTTAAAATAAGTATATTTAAAATTAAAAATTCTTAAGATGATCAAGAAAAATTCTTAAATATCTGTTTCTTTTTATATAATATAATGGAGTTATTTTAATAAAGAGGAATTATTGCATAATTCGCTGAAAACTCTGCTTCTTGTCACATTAGACCTTAAAAGAGCCTCTGAATTCTAAGTCATTTTTTACAACAGCCTTTGAATAACTTAGTTATTTTGTCTTTAAAGTTTCTATAGCTGAATATTATTTCTTTTCAGCAAGTGAAATAAAACATGATCCCAAAGATGCAAACACTTCCTTAGGAGAAGTTGCTAATGAGACCTCTGAAAATGAAACACTGGGAGACTTCAGTGAACAAATAAAAGGTTCAGACTTGGATGAAAAGGTACTAGGGGATCTTTTGCATGTTTTTTATTTCTTGGTCTTAAATAGTGGTAATGCATAAATCCATCTTAACAGTGCTATCGGGTGGCGAGTATAACTCCCTTTATTGAATAAAAGAATCAAGTCGCTCTAGCCATGGGATGTATCCCTTGATATTTGGTGTAAGCATAGTATAAAAAAGATTTTCCTTGCCTGGGAAAATGGGATGTACTGTTTAATTACATACTGTAGTTAGCTTTTTAGTATCTGAAGTTTGCCACAAACCTATGAAAGTCTTTCTAAATAAAATATTACATATTTTTCTGCCTCAGAAAACACTATAATACTGAAAATCGTTTGATCTTCCTTAATTTTCAGGTAGCATAGTACTTGAGGGCCATGCTTCCTAGTATGGGATGATTTCTTTGTTTTGTTTGAGGGAAGGGGGATTATATATTTATCCTTCTAATACCATCGTAGGCTTCAAAGTACTAACCCTTTACAAAATATGAGACTTAGTAATATTTGCTCTTAAGATGTCTGGCCCTCAAATTTGGGAATTAACAAACTTGTTTTCATCTCTCTCTTACATTTTAGGAACACTACAGGGTAAATAAATTGACTTATGGGACATATGCCTGGCCTATTGCTTTTCTGCTCTTGTAAATGGCTGACTGTAAATTTTTAGAAATGCTTCCTTATTGATCTTTTACTTCCCACTACATGTGTATGTGTGTACAAGTATGTATGTATGTACAAGTGCACACATGTATAGTGAGAAATAAAAGATCAATATGCCAGGTGCAGTGACTCAGGCCTGTTATCCCAGCACTTTAGGAGGCTGAGGTGAGAGGACTACTTGAGGCCAGGAATTTGAGACCAGCTTGAGCAACATAGTGAGACCCTGTCTCTACCAAAAAAAATTTTTTTTTTTTTATTAGCCAGGCATGCTGGCATCCACCTCTAGTCACAGCTACTTGGCGGGTTGGAGGTGGGAGGATAACTTGAGCCTGGGAGGTCAAGTCTGCAGTGAGTCACGTTCGGGCCACTGCACTCCAGCCTGGGCAACAAAGCAAGACCTGTCTCAAAGAAGAAAAGGTAGGGACGCGCACACGCGTGTGTGCGTGTGTGTGCATGCGTATCTATTATATACGTGTGTGTGTGTGTGAATGATTCTTTTCCAGAGGACTTTTCTTTTCTTTTCTGTATCACTTGTCAATTTTTAGGTTTACCATAGTAGTAATTACTTTATGATTCTACTGTTGGGCTTCTGATAAAGTACTAGTGTACTTTTTTTAACTTTTTATTTTGAAATAGAGATTCACAGGAAGTTACAAAGGTAGTTCAGAGAGGACCCATGTTGCCTTCACCTAGTTTTCCCCTACATCTTACATTTTAAAGTATAAGAAGCAGGAATTTGATATTGATAAAATATGTTTGTGTAGGTCAGTGTATTTTATCAAATATGCAGATTTATGTGACCACCACTGCAGTCAAAGAGCTATAATAGCACCACAAAGATCTCCCTTATGCTACCTCTTAACAGTCATACCTCTCTCCCTCCACCAATAATTTCTATAGTTTTGGCATTTTAAAATGAAGATTCATAAGAGGTTGGCTAGAGGATTATTAATTGATAATTCTAAAAACAAAACCAGCTTTAGTTTTACTGATTTTTTTTTTCCTATGTTGCTTTTTTGTTTTCAGTTTCACTGAAATCTGCTCTGGTTATTTCCTCCTTCTACTTACTTCGGATTAATTTGTTGTTCTTTTTGTAGCTTCCTAAAGTTGCAGCCAAGGTCATTGATTTATTATTTTCTTAATTATTTTCTAATAGAGATATTTAGTGCTATATATTTATCCATAAATACTGTTTCAGCAGCATCCCACTTTTTGTTGAGATAAATTGTGGATTCACCTGTGTTATAAGAAATAATACATAGATATCTATGTACCCTTTACCTAGTTTCTCCCAATTGTAATATATTGCACAACCACAGTACAATATCACAACCAGAATATTGGCATTAATACAATCAAGATATTACAGACCATTTCCATCACCACATGGATCCCTCATGTTGCCCTTTGATAGCGCACACCTACTTTCTTCTCTCTTTCCTCCATCGCCCATTCCTTAATCCTGGACAACCACATATCTGTTCTGCATTTCTATAATTCGGTCATTTCAAGAATATTGTATAAATGGAATCATACAGTATGTAACCTCTTCAGATTTGCTTCTTTTTTTTTTCCCCACCTGGCATAATCCTGTGGATATTCAACCAAATCATTGTATATATCATTTTTACTGTTTAGTAATACTCCATGGTATGAGTGTACCATAGTTTGTTTAGCTATTTGCTCATTGATGGATATCTAGTTTGGGACTGTTACAGGATAAAGCTGCTATCTATAAATATTCATGTACAGGTTTTTGTGTATCTATGTGTTTTAATTTCTCTGGAATAAATGGGCTGTAACTGCTGAACTATATGGTAGTCGCATGTTAGGTTTTAACTTGGGTGAACTCATCCTCCAGATTACTCCCCTGCGGTTAGACTCAGTTGAAATGTTTGTTCAGTTCTTTGACTCTTAGCTGGGCTCTTTGGAATCCACGTTGCATACATATTGTTCAGAGATCAGCTAGAGATTTGGGTCAAGTTATAAGTAGATTTGGGGACTTTGTCTGTTAGACTTTCTCCCAGATTCCTAGCCTCACTTTCTGATTTTACCCCAAACTCTGTTCTTCTGGTTCTTTGTTAGTAGGGCAAATTGTTGTCCTCCCCAAATGGTTCCAACTAGTGCCTGCCCTTGGGTATACAGCCATAAAAACAAGACAGTTACCCAGTGGCATTCCATCTTTCTGAGTGTAGACTTCCCTCTAGGTTCTGCCTGCTTTTCATATCTCTCCAGGGTTTTCAGGTAGTTTAAAAATATTTTATCCAGAGTTTATGGTTGTTATCTGCAGAAGAGTTACCCCAATAGGAGATTCTCTGCCATTTCTCAAAGTACAACCATTGTGAATTCTTTTGAATTTCATCCAGATGGTAGCGTACTGTTCTTTACCTTGCTTGAGATGTTTTTCCTTTCAATGTATGTAATGATGTCTTGTTTTTATAGTTGTATAATTACCTACTATATGAATATACTCTAACAAGTCCCACTACTGATGGACACTTGGTTTGTTTCCATTTTTTTGCTATTTAAATATTGCTGCATTATGCATCCTTGAGCATAAGGCATTTTGCATATGTGCAAGCATTTTTGGATTAATTCCTAGAAGTGGAGTTGTCAAATTGTCCTTCATAGAGATTGCTTTGATGTATACTTTCAACAACATTGTGTGAGAGTGCCATTTTCTCCCCCACACACTAATTCATTATTAATTTTTTGTCCATCTGCCTATTTTTATAAATGACTTTGTTTTAGTTTTAATATGCATTTCTCTTATGAGTCTAGTTAAACATCTTTAGAAGTCATTTATATTGTTTTCTATGAACTTGCTGTTTATGTCCTGGTATGGTTGGCTGTGGTCCCACCCAAAATCTCATCTTGAATCCACATAATCCCCACAATCCCTGCATGTCAAGGGAGAGACCAGGTGGAGGTAATGGAATCATGGGGGCAGTTCCCCCCTTGCTATTTTGTGATAGTGAGTTCTCATGAAATCTGATGGTTTTATTAGCATTTAGTAGTTCCTCCTGCATTCATTCTCCTTCCTGCCACCTTGTGAAGAAGGTGCCTTGCTTCCTCTTCACCTTGTGTAAGTTTCCTGAGGCCTCCCCAAACCATGCTGAACTGCGAGTCAATTAAAACCTCTTTCCTTTATAAATTACCCAGTCTTGGACAGTTCTTTATAGTAGCATAAAAATGGACTAATACATGCCCACTTGCCCATTTTCTTCCGGATTTGATCTTTTTACTTGTAGGAACATTTCATGATATAAACTTATCTGTTCTTTGTCATATGTGGCTATACCTTTTCCTGGATTTCATTTGTTTTGACTTAGTTTAGGAGCTTTTCACCTTGTAAAAGCCTTTTATTTTTATTTAATCAAATATGTCAGTTTTCTTTCATAATAGGAGTTACAAGTCAGATTTAGAGAAACCCTTCCCCATCTCAACATTTAAAATTTTCTCTCATATTTTCTTTTAGTTTTTTTTGGTGTTATTTATTATGTTTAAATTTTTAATCAAACTAAAATTTATCTTAGGAGAAGGAATATAGAAACAATGTAACTTTTCCTTGTTTTAGCAGATGGCATTTTGTACTCTTTATTCTCTTAACATATGAAAATATTTAAAATATTTATAGTCAAACCTATTGATATCTTACTTCATGGTTTCTACCTTTGGTGTCATGCTTAGGCTTTCCAAATCCTCCAGATTATATACTCATTTATATATTTGATTTGTTTTGCTATTTTATTTTATTTTCTACTTTTAGAATTTATTTTTAATTTAATGAAATCTTTAATGAACCTAAAAGGTATTTTGGCATATGGTGAGTTGGGAGCACACTTATTTTCCATCCAATTAACTAGCCAGTTGTTCTACCATTTATTGAATCATTTCCTCCTAAATTTCAAGTGCCATATTGAATATTTTCAGTTTTATATATAGATCTGTTTCTTTTCTTTTGTTTCATTGATTGCTAGTCCTTACACCAATAGCATACTATCAATTTTTTGAAAAATAGTAAGTAAAATATTAAATGGTAAAATGTTTTTTGGTGGTTCTCTCTCATGTATTTTTTTTAAACAGTGCTTTAAACTCACATTGTAATTTCTTTAATGTATAAATTAATTTGGGGAGAACCAACATCTTTAGTATTCTCATTTAGGAACATGGTAGGTCCTTCAGTTTGTTATGTTTTATGTTTCTCAGTTGATTTTTGTAGTTTTCTAAGATTTCTAGGTTGTCTTCCAAGGCTTTTATAGTTTTGGGTTTTAACATTTAAGTTTTTAACCCATCTTAAGTTGATTTTTGTAGTTTTCTAAGATTTCTAGGTTGTCTTCCAAGGCTTTTATAGTTTTGGGTTTTAACATTTAAGTTTTTAACCCATCTCGAGTCGATTTTTGCATATGGTAAAAGAAGGGTCCAGTTTCAGTCTTCTGCATGTGGCTAGCCAGTTACCCAGCACCATTTATTGAATAGAGAGTCCTCTCCACATTGCTTGTTTTTGTCAGCTTTGTCGAAGGTCAGATGGTTGTAGGTGTGCAGCCTTATTCCTATGCTGTCTATTCAGTTCTATTAGTCCGTGTATCTGTTTTTGTACCAGTACCATGCAGTTTTGGTTATAGTAGCCCTGTAGTATAGTTTGAAGTCAGTAACATGATGCGTCCAGCTTTGTTCTTGTTGCTTAGGATTGCCTTGTCTATTCGCGCTCCTTTTGAGTTTCATATGAATTTTTGCTAGTTCTCTGAAGAATGTCATTGATAGTTTAATAGGAATAACATTGAATCCATAAATTACTTTGGGCAGTATGGCTATTTTAATGATATTGCTCCTTCCTATCCATGATCATGGAAAGTTTTTCCATTAGTTGATGTCCTCTCTGATTTCTTTGAGCAGTGTTTTGTAATTCTCATCATAGAGGTCTTTCACTTTCCTGGTTAGCTGTATTCCTAGGTATTTTATTCTTTTAGTGGATGACTGTTTTTTCAAAAGTTTAGTATTTGAACATGTATAACCTTCTTATGACTGGAAAATCATTATTTCAAAACAGCTACTTGTGAAATGTAAGTATAGTTATATTTAAAACACATTTAAATATTTCTTATGAAAAATAAAGTTTATGTTCACAAATACCGCTTTAAAATAACTCAAAGCTCAAGCTTTTTTTCTGAATAAAAAGAAACTCAACTTAAGTTTTACCTAATGATTTGAAATAGCGACTTGGGTAATTAAAGGTGATATCAAAACCTGGACAAATGTTTTGACTTATATTAATTTTTCTCTTAAGCAGCAGTGGAAATTTTAAAGTCAGGATTCAGTATTTTAAATTATGTAGAATAGAATTGTTTTTAGGGATTGGCCATAAACTAGTTGTTTAATTAACATCGAATACATTATAATAAATCCAGTAAGCCTCATAGCTTAGTGTGTAATACAGAGACATTCACTGGTTCTTATTTAACCATAATCTCTTCACAGCATAGATTTACAGACAAAGTGATTACCAAAGAAGAAAAAGAAAATATTTATGAAGTTCGCAAAAGGTCTGTAACATAATTCTTAATTACATAACTTAAAATAGTCACTCGTCTAATTTGTATCTTGAGTATGTTTTTTGTTCTCTACTGTTTCTATGCTTGGGCTATATGCCATTAGCCATATATAGGTATACTTTAATTAATGTGTCAGATGTACTCAGGTGTAAGGGGTATTGTAAATTACCTTAAAGCTGTCACTAAGTTTTTTGAGTCATTAAAATATTTTTTGAGGAAAGATAAGGAGTAGTGATAAAAAGAAAAAATGATGTATGTTTGACTTTTATGAAGATAAGAGTGGCTGAAATCAGACTCACATTGCAGTTTGCAAGGATCTTACATGGATGCAGTGATTCATACGGAGAGTTATAGCACACTCTCTGGAACATATAAAACCACATTTAGAGTTGGAGGACACCTTAAAGATCATCTGATCCATCCTCCACCACCCTCATTTTGCATTTGACTCACCCAGGTCAAGGTGATGGATATATCTGAGGCCTTTAATGTTAAGGCAGTAATTTTCAAAGTGTGATCCTTGGAGAAGCATCATCATGCATGAACTTGTCAGAAATTGAAATTATTGGGTCCCATCTCAGACCTGCTGAATCAAACTTTGGCGATGGGCCTATCAATCTGTTTTTAACAAGACCACCAGCTGATTTTGATGCATGCTCAAGTTTGAGAACTACTGTGTTAAGGGAAAGGCTAGACAAGAATTAGATTGGTATAGAAGGTTTAGTACGGTTCATGACCATTTGGAGATACTAAAGAAAAAGGAAGATACTAAAGAAAAAGCAACAAGGTTAACTTTTTTTTTCTATTGCAATCATTTTGCTTACAAACTAAGATAGTGTAACTGCAGCCTGCAAAGGTTTATCAACTTGACTCTATCATAGTGATCACCAGTGTGACATTGATTGGTTAAGTCATTACATCACCATGGGCTTCAGTCATCTGATCAAAAATAAAAGATAGATAATCTCTTCCATCTGTAGAAATTCATAATTTCTATTTCTTTGTTTATGTTGCCGCTTTTGTTTTATTTGCGGGGAACATACTGATAATACATATAAGTGACATCCCAAGTTGGGGAGAGAAATGAAGATCTTTTTTTTGTGTGAAAATCTTAAATTCTATCAATGCTACTAAATTTCAACTGTTGTAAGTATGGCTCCCTCTTCTTACTACTTTTACTCTCCTCTGGCCCAGAAAACACAAGCTGAAAAAACTTATTAGAATTATTTTTAAGGTAAACATTATAGTATCTGAATGTTAGTGTAAACCTTTCTCCTAAAAAGTAAATGCATTTGTATTTACTAATCAGCTCTGAAGTACTTCTTTCCCTCCCCTTGCTTAAGTTATTTTTCTAGAGAAGTAGTGTCCAAATTAAATTTTTGTAAAATTGGTTATGTAGGATCTCACATATTAGAATGCAATTAAGCTGTTTAAATCAGTCACCCTGAAACAATAACATTTTTAATACCTTTTCCCCAGAGAAAGCTCTCAAAGACCTTTATAGGCTTATTGTATATACTTTTCTTGAAGAATAATTTATAATTCATTTAATTACATTATCAGTAGAATAATTTAATGACCTCTTCCGGATTAAAACACTAACCTAACTCCTCCTCAGACCTTTTGTTTGGCAAAAATATTTTGCTCTAATCTTAACCACACCACCCCGTTCCTTCCTCTACTCCAACCACTTAAGAAGTGCTGGTTTTCTAGTTAAGAAGGCAGGAACAACCTATTAGAGATGTTAAAGA